TTTTAAGTCAGATTTGAATTAACTCCAGAATTAAAATAGTAATTATAACAACAGCAGCAACAATAATCTGTGGAAAGTAAATATGGCTTTTCAGCTCTCACAGACAGAAAGGGAATGCGGTTCGTATTTAAATAGGCCATCATAATTTCTGTACCGACATGTTCTGCCTCATTTACCACTTCCTTCCAATATTTCTGAGAATTAGGCTGAGGCCCATCTTAAAACAGTTTCCATCAATATCCTGTTTCCCATGGGATGAAGTAAATATCTCCTATCTACTGAATGAAATAGGGTGGGGAGGACCAGGAATAAAAGCCAAAGAAACCTGTCGAGTGAGTGAATGAAGATTATTAGTTGGCCAATACACATTTTGATTCAATTTACACACTTGAATTTCAGGTCATGTATTACCTGACGACTGCTAGCAGCTTGCTGTGCTTAATTGGAACCTGTGCTATGCATTACAGAGATACTTGCTGACACTACTAAAGCACATACTGAGGAATCCAAGTTTCATTTGTACTCAGGAAAAGAAGGAAAAGAACATTTCTTACACCAGCAGAACCCTCTGATCTGTTCCCTCAAGTCTCAGTCCTTTCTCTCCCTTCACATCTTCTGATCTCTTACCACAGAATCACTCAGGGCAAATGGATCATTTGCAACATCAGTTCAAAGTACATTAACACTGAATTTAGAAATTGCTCCAAGTTTTACCCATTAAGGCTTTGGAAATCTTTGGGAACAGAGATTCCATAGCTTTTCAGGGCAACCTGCTCCAATGCCTGACTGTCCCTATGATAATGATTTTTTCCTTATGTCAAGTTTGAACTTCCCAGTTTGATTTGAGCTCGTTGTCTCTTCTGAAACAGCTGTAGACCTCTGAAAGGGTATGTCTCTGTTTTCTTGACAACCTCTTTGTGTTGTAAGGCTGCTATTAGGACCCCCTTGCCTCTTCTATGGGCTGGGCAGACCCATTTCCCCCAGTTCCAAATTGTAGGGCAGATGTGTGCTCCGCTCCAACTATCCCCTTGCCTTTCAAAGGACTTCCTTCAAGTTTCTCACTATCTTTCTTGTATTTGGGGTATAGTGTGCCAAAACTGGATGCAGTGTCCCTCAGTGCCAAAGAAAGAGAATAAACCCTTCCTGTAATCTACTGGATAATAATTAGGTATGCTGCTAACTTTCATCTCTGACACGACTCATCATGGAGTCAACATGACTTATTTCTAGCTTGCTTTACTGCAAGAACTATTGTCTCTTTTCCACAAGGCTGCAATCTTTGCCTAACTTCATTTAGTTACCGGACTTTTCAGATACAGATCCTTTCATGCACGTGTATTTCTCTTCCATCACAAATCCTAATTATCTTCCCTCCAGTCTCTTTACTCCAAATCCAAGTCTAGTTTGTTTCTCCCCATCACCTCTAAGATCTATGCAATCTGCAATTCCATGAAATACTTTCTACATCAGATATTTAACTTCTCTCTTCCCTGTGTTTGCATCTTCCTTCTGTCTGCTGCCCAGACTGAGCTTCAAAGACAGCCTCAGATCTTACTAATGGTTCTAACCCAAAGACTCAGCCAAGAGATGAAACTACTGCAAGTATTCCTCCCTTCATTGATGAAAATTCCATGGAGACAATATAGTCTTTAAATGAACAAGCATAAAACATCCTTCAGAAGCACACACCTTGGTCAACTGTGAGTACACAAAAAAAAGACAAGAAGAAAAGATGAAAAAACAGCAATCCTGCTTAAAACAAAGAGAAACCCACATTACACACATTTCTTCTACTTTCTTCTACTATTGCAGATGCTGAGCAATTTGAGAAATACTCAAAAACAGAAGACCCTTATGTGTGACTGCACATTACATAACATGTTTTCATTTTAAATTTCATGTTTCAAAGCAGTGATGTATCTGTCAACTGTCCATCATTAATGAGGAAATTATAGAATATCCCAAGTTGGAAGAGATGCAAAAAAAAATCTTTGAGTCCAACTCCTGGCATACAGCACCACTCAGTGTTCAAACCCTGTGTCTGAGAGTGCTATCCAAATGCTCCTCGAACTGCAGCAGCCTAGGGTAATGCCCACCACCCTCTGATGAAGGACCTTTTCCTAACCCACAACCTGATCCTCCCCTGACACAGCTCCATGCCTTTCCCTCATGTCACTGTCACCACAGAGCACAGAGTTGCTGTGGAGCTGCTATGAGGCCTCCCCTCAGCTTCCTCTGCTCCGGGCTGAACACAGTAAGGGACTTCAGCTGTTCCTTGTACATCTTGCCCTCTAGACCCTTTACCTTCTTCACAGCCCTCTTTTGGACACCCTCTAATAATTTTATGTCCTTCCTATACTGTGCCACCCGAGCCTTCACCCAGTGCTGGAGGTGAAGCTGTACAGTGCAGAGCACAGCGGGACCAGCCCTTCCCTCATCCGGTGGCAGTGCTCTATCTGATGCAACCCAGTGTATGGTTGGCCTTTTTGGCTGCCTTGGCACGCTGCTGCCTCATGCACAACTTGTCATCAGTCAGAACATCCAGATCCCTTTCTCTGGGACTCTCATCCCCCAATTTATACATAGATCCAAGGTTGCCTCATGCCAGGCACAGAACTAAGCACTTGCTCCTGTTGAACTTCATGCAGTTGGTGATTCCCCAGCTCTCTCGTCTGTCAAGATCTCTGCAGAGACTCTCTGCCCTTCAGAGAGTCAACAGTTTGTTTCAATTTGGTGTCATCCACAAACTTACTTCGTGTACCATCATGTCCTGCATCCAAACCACTGACAAAAACATTAAAAAGTACTGGCTCTGAAATAGAGCCCTGTGGAACACCATTAATAACTGGCTGCCAGACTGACATAACCCCAGGTTCCATAACACAGTGAGCCTAAAAGAATGATACGATTGCACATGTCCATGAAAATGTACTGGAAACAAAATATTCAAATCCCTTATGTTTGCAATGATGCTGCTTATCACATGAATAACAAAAACATATTACTTGCAGTTTGTTGCATTTGCAGGAACGAATGTTAATGTCCTTAACGAGGGTGTACTGTATGAATCAACTCGATACTTCTTATTACCTACCGTATATTTAAATACCATTTATCAAATGCAGGAAGTTCCAGCAACTCCCACAAACTGAAAAATAAATACAGTTGTGGTTTGAATGTGTTTTGCTGTCTCATCTATCATCAGTTTGTTAGCAGAACCGTCAGGAATTAGTTATTCGCCTTTTCTTCCTGCTTTAGTCTGAAAATGCTGGCCTTTTAAACTTCAACCTTGCAGAAGCAGGTCAATTTTAAGAAGACAAGTTTTCTCAGGAAGCCCAACAACAAAATCAGTAGAGATATCTGACCAATCTGTTGACTAGCACTGTCTGTACACATGGGAGTTTTCATAGTTCAATTTTTTTGGTGAAGAAAATTAAAGATCACTCCCATTCCACTGTAGGAAGGGAGCAGTTTTTGAAATCTTTCCTCTCAGAGTCATGCCCCAAGCCCTTTTCAAAGTTCTGCACTGACCATGTTTGCTAGCATCAGAAGGAAGAAGTACAGTTAGGAAAAGCAGCAGTGACAACAGCAGATTTTGCTTCACAGACATTATGCCAGATGCTTAAAATACATACATAACACATAACAAATATAAAATATTTAAAATATTACTTTATTAAAATAAAGTATCAAAGCTACATCTTATATGGTGCCAGTCCACTGTGTTTCAGAATTGACTTACATGAAGGATATATGAGCCTACTAAAATCCTAGGGAAAACTTACATACCAAAAGGTAATTTTGCACATTTAAACATCGAGTCTAAGGGAAAACAATAAATTTTTTATAACTTTTTTTTTTTTTTTTTCCTCATATAAACATTCAACACTAAAACCAAAATAACTGATTCAGGATTCTGTGCACCTCTTTAATGTACTTCAGTAATAAGAGCCAGCTTGGTGCATGCTAATAACTGCTTTATTTACATGCAGCATCACACAAACTGCAGCTGAACTGAGGACTCCAGTAGAGGATTTCAGACCTCTTGCTTGAAAACTTAGTACTGCAGTTGCAAAATAATAATAAAATTCAGTTTTACCTCCAGGATACATAAATAAAGAACAGATATTTTTATATATTTGTATACAGAGGTCTTTCATACATTTTGAAAACTTAGGCCTCACAAAAATCTTGGTACAGTAACCCAATGCACATACCCTTGTTGCTGAAATGTCTTTTGGATGCACAGAGGAGTTGAATTAATTCTTTCATTAGTTCACCACAGTCTATAACCCCTAGCTTCAAATCTGTTTTTTATTTATTTTCTATCACCTTAAGAACTCAATCAAATCAGTCAGCACTATTTATAAAAACAGGCAAGGATACTGCAATATACAAAGCAACTTTACTAAATGAGATTTTATGACGAAATTCTCAATATCTAAAAATACATTTTCAAGTGAAGCACTATTCAATACCATGGCTCTTATTGTTTTACCCATTTCAGTATCACGTTCATATTTCTTTGCAGACCACTGGTATAAGTATTCAATGTTTTAATTACAGTAGCTCCTAGAAGCCCTGAACCATACTGTTAGATGCAGTACATAGTGATTTTTGGGTGGAGAAAGAAAAAAATCTCATCATCTGAACAATGTGAACAGATAAGAGGGAACAAAAAAAAAATATGTCCTTCTACAGATCTGCTTTTGTGTTGGTTGCCTGTTTTTTCTTTTCTTTCTTTCTTTCTTTTCTTTTTTTTCCCATAGAATCATAGAAATGTTGAGCTGGAATGGACCTCTAAAGGTCATGTAGTCCAGCTACCCCACAATGAACAGAGACACCTACAGCTGAATAAAATTGCCCAGAGCTCTGTCCAGTTTGATCCTGAATGTCTCCAAGGATGGGGCATTCATGTCATCTCTGGGCAACCTGTGCCAGTGCTTCACCACCCTAATTGTAAAAAAAATTTCTTCTTGATATCCAGTCTAAATCTCCCCTTGTTTTGTTTGAAACCACTTTCTCTTCTCCTGTCACCACAGACTCTGCTAGAGAGTCTGTCCCCTTCTTCCTTATAGCCTCCTCTAAGAGACTGAAAAGCTACTATCAGGTGTCCCTGGAGCCTCTTCTTCAAAACTGCACAGAAGTAGCTATATCTATCCTAGTGATTGAGGCCAGATCTATGGGCAGTAAATGTGTTTTATTAGTTGCATGGCTGGTTCCATGTTTGTTGGATTTTTCTTTTCACAGTATCCCTTTGCATGGATAATAGCAAAAGCAAGACAAATACAACAAATACGTATCCAGCAATATTTCTGTCGGATAAGCTATCCAAAAGAAGATAGTATATTATACCTAAGTGCCAAAGGCTCATATATGGTGTATATACTTTCATATTTATATATATATATATACTGCATATATATATATTTATACACACAGAATACACATATATATATGAGTGCAGAAATTATGAAGTCAGAAATCCAATTTGTCCTACTGTACTGAGCCTAATTTCATCATGTTTCTTTCTATGCTCAACTTGTTTACATGTATGCATGCACATATTCCCTGAGATTGAGGTGTCAAAGCATCTTATTTATCTTATTTCTGGTAAAACTCATCTTAATTAGTAAATACTAATAGATTTTAGTAATGTCCTTTTGTCCTCAGGGAAGAAGCAAGGCAGTGGCAACCATTCTACATACTTAGGAGCTTTTGCTTCGTTATCCTGTGCTTTTAGATTTTTTTCCTTCCCAAAACAAATTTCTATGTCAAACTAAGAAACAAACAACAAAAATAAACAGAAACTAGCTGACACCACTCTATTGTGATGAATAATATAGTTTCATTATCCTTCCTTGTACTCTATGCTTCAGGGTAGAAGCTTTTTTTTTTTTAGGTTTTTTGTTTGTTTGTTTGTGAAACAAAGCAAAGTAAGATGCAATTGTGTTTTAGGTTTCCATTTCTGTATAAAAACAGAATGGTCCTGTGTTCACGCTATACTTTATGTTCAACTGTTTCTTTGATTTGCTTCACTGAAATTACTTCAAAGCCAAAAAACCACGTCCTTACAGCTGTTGTTTAGAGACTCCCATTGTGTAAAATAAATTGTCTTTCTGGTAATCACGTGACGTTTTTATCTTACAAGTACGTCTGGTCTACTTCCTGTTTTGGGTTTGCTTATTAGACCAAAGAATAGATTTCAGAAGCTGATGGAGGAAGGAAAGAGACTGAATTGGCATTATAGGAGAATTCAATTTCTTTTTTCTTTGACAGATGCGTTGGAAGAAGAAGAAAATTGCACTAAGCATAGTTACAAAAATAAAGGGCTTCAGAGGAGTCTAACTGCACCAAAAAAAGTACCATCTCCATCCAAGGATATTTTAGCTCTTCTTCGTGGTATTGTAAGTTGAAGCTCATCTCCTTCTTCTAATTTTGCAATGCCTGACAAAAGATTTGGAATATTTTTAGTTAATATTTCACAGACATTATTGTCATAAAAGTTCTTGAAAACGTCATTGCGTATCATCAAACAAATCTAAGCATGGCTTGTTACTTGTAACAAGTGCTCGTTTTATCTTTAGGCACAACCTTATGTACTTCAGACCACCCAAATCTTACACTTGACAGCCTCTGTGGAGCTGGACCCACCTTCCTTTCCTTAGCAATTCCATTCTGTACTCAGTGCGTCAGTTCACTTAAGCAAACGCTGCCAAAAAAACCCCAAATCACGTAACTGCAGTGCGCCCAGATTGCACATCTTATGGTGATGTAGCAGCCAGGTCAGCACTGGGCACTGCTGGTCCTAGATGGCTCTGTTCCCATGCTTATGGGGGAGATTTCATCAGCTTTACCAACCCAAGTGAAGTTAGCAGACATCAGGTGACCCAGTGCAACTGCAGAACTCAGAAGTCTATTTCCTTCAAGCCACACATCAGCTGATGTGATAGCTGAAAGCACATAGCTTTCATGCTGCAGTCACTGAACTGGGAGCAAACTTCTGCAGCAATACATGCTCAACAGCACGAGACGCTGCAACAAGATTTGGTTTTCCAGGTGAAAGCAAGTGGTGGGAAAGCAAGAATCATGAAGTGGCAGGATGGAGTAGAGATCTTAGTTAAGAAAGAAATGGTGCAGGTAGGGAGCATAATACGAGGGTAGGACAAAAAAATACATGAAATTGAAAGTAACTGTGGTGTCCAAATATGTGGATGGTGGGGCAGGAAGTCTGGACAGCCCCAATTTCTGTGAGGGAAAAAAAAATTCCTTCCCAGTCCCATTTGTTTAGTGCCATCCAGCCACCAACAGTCAGCTCCTGTTACTGAATGTTACTCACATTTTACACAAGATATTGAAAAAAAAAGATGGCTTTTATTCACAGAGACCTTGCTAGAAAATAACAAAGCTGAAAATCCCCAAATCCCTGAGCAAAGAAGAAAGGCAGACAGATAAGAGCTACTGAACGTGGTTTGATAGACCTAGACAATAATTCCTGAAATGCTACAGCAGGAAAATACATACATATTATGCACTGAGCTTACTGGACTTGCATTAAATATTTTAATGGGTCGTCTTTTATGGTGCTTCTCATTAGTGCAGTCAAAAATCTCTTCACAGAAATTAACTCTTTTTCATCTAACCAAATAATAAATCTGCAGTAGTAATTGTTAGGAGTAGAGATTTAAGCTGATAATGAACATTCTTGAAAAGCGAGGTGTGTAAAAATTGGGTGGCTAAAATTCAAGTGTGCTCCTAAATATTTTACTGGCATACTCAAATGAAGAATTCAATACTTAAGCTCAGTTTTCTTCTAGGACAGCATGTAGTCCTTTTGTCTGCTTCAGGCATTTAGCTGTGAAAGCACCAAAGTGTCCAAGCATTTTATAAGGTTAACGGAGACAGGGGAATTGCTGAGGTCATGTAATTACATGGATCAAGTCCAACTGTTGAGGCTTTATATAAAGCCATACTTTTCAAAAGTATTCTGCAGTTTTGCAGTTGACTGGCTCCGTGAATGCAGTTCATTTTCTTTATAACTCCCACAATCTTTAATCACCCACCACTGCAGATTCCATTTAATACAGTTTATTTGCCAACGACAGAAAGAAAAAATTTAGATGTTTACCAGCAGTATAGCAAGAATTATTCGGATAAGACTGTGGCATATTTTGGATGCAACGAAATAATGTGACCAAGCTGAGATCATCACCAAACACGTGAGCTTTCTTCCTCTGTATTAGATGTCCCATTGCAAATGTTGTATCAGTATATAAAACCTGCAGGATGAAGAGGTACAGACCTCAAACATTTTGTATGGAGACATTAGAAATCCTTTAAAAGCCAGATGCTGAAGTGAATTGAGCTTTCTTACCTGGCCATATATGAAAAAATATCCTGTTTCTTTGATCACTATTTTATTTCCCTGTTCTTCCAGAGCTGTTCCACGCTTAAAGCTCAGAAGCCAAGGGACAATGCTTGAATCATCTAAAAGAAATAAGGATTTTGAAGTAATCAAAAAACAAAATAGAACACCAACCCACAAATTCACTTCCCTAGTTTTCATCTGCCAAAAGTTAAGAAAGCTGACTTTCAGTTAAGACTTCCAGTCTCACTGGATTTCCCCCTTAAAAGAGGACATTTACAAGAACTGTCCAGATGCAGAGGCTGCATTATTTTATTTTATTAATTTATTTTTAAATCAGGGCAGACAACTCATTTATTGCTTTGAAGCTAGCTAAAATAGGGAAGAGAGCTAAGGCATGGAAAAGTTAGCTATCAACCATGGAATATATTCCTACCTTTCTGTTGGATATCACTTTTGCTGTCTGCAATCAGTTGCAAGCAGGCCTGCAGCACTGCAAAGTGAAAGCATACAAATCATTTGTAGAACACAATAAACTTTTGAATTGCATATTAAAAAAAAAAAAAAAAAAGGATGAACACAAAAAAATTCTTAGTCTCAGCAATTTGAAAACAGAGTCTTTCTACTAATTTCAAGGTAGGTCTTACTTAAACATGCCAGGACAAAATTCATACTGCAGTGCGTACTTCTCTCAGAGAACATGCAGATAAGTGTGAGCCTCAGACACTGGCATAAATTATACTTGCTTGTTTTAATCTTTGGTCCTAATATAGTTTACAAATGCAGCAGTAAGTCAGATGAGGTAAGAAACAGATCAATTAGCTCTGTTAATTTTCAGTGCAAAAGCTCAAAAGACTCCAACCCTGTCAGCTATGAGAGATACCAGATTTTCTAATGATACTTACTGTATTACTTAAATTAGTTTCCAGTTATGGATTCTGTAAAATGTTAATGATATGTATTGGCTACGGAGTAATTTCAAAAATAGCAAGCGTAAACTCTCAAAATCCATCCAGATTTTCAGTACATCCAGATGTACTTTCAGTGTATTTTTCAGTCCTTCATCCTGTACACTAAGAGGGAAAGTACAGAAATGACTGGTAGTAAATAAGTGCACAGACAACAAATACCTTAGTATGTGACAAAAAAAAAATGAAGTATTACTCAAAACCGTAGAGGCTGAAGATGCTAAAGAGTAAATAGGATGTTGAGCTGTGAAAAAAATACTGTGCTATTTTGAAAGAAAAGCTCCAGAGTGATTTGAAGATATTTAAAAACTGAAAGTAAAAATCTGCTAACCTCTTCTGTCAGCATACAGAATAAAAGACAAAGGGATAGAGTAGATTTTCATGAGAACATCTGCTTGTAGGGGTATTCTGAAGGCCAGAAAGCAAAGTTGTCACATTTACTACACTCTTCAGAAACAAATGCTAAGTTAAAAGAAGAAAATTCTGCCTTAGATTGCTCGAACTCCATTTTTGCTTGCCTTTTTTTTTTTTTTTTTCCCCTCTCTCCAATAAAAATGCTATGGGCCAGATTCAAATACTCTTACTATAAAGGGCAGTGCCCTATTCCATGAGATCACATTTCTACACCTGTCAGTGGCAGCCCTGTGCCAAACCATGTGCACCCACCTCTCACTGCACTGTATGGAATGACAGGATTGGAGAAGAAAGCAGCCTCCTGCACATACCTAAGTCTCCTTTCAAGGAGGATATCAGCAAACACCAGAGGAGGGCTAGGTGCTGAACAGCATGCCATTGGCACTGACAGACAGTGGGAAAAGATTCAAGTGTGGGAATGCTTCAGAGTTTCAAGAACCAAAGAACCCTAACTGACCCCACTGTCATTAACAGCACTATCTCGCAAACTCCCATTCTGGCAATCAGTCAGTACTTCCTATAAGATGCCAAGAAATCTGTGGATTTTTAAAACAATAATTTAAAGGTATCGAGATTTATAGAATCATAGAATGGGCTGGGTTGAAAAAGGACCATAATGATCAACTAGTTTCAACCCCCCTGCTATGGGCAGGATTGCCAACCAGGCTGCCCAGAGCCACATCCAGCCTGGCCTTGAATGCCTCCAGGGATTCCCTGCCTTTTGACAAGAAAAGAAAGCTAAGTCAACAACAACAAAAAGTCCTATACTTCATTATTTTTTTTTAAATCTCAGTTGTGACAAAATGTTCTGGAAGAGAAGCTTCCAAACAAAAACAAAATATGGTTTTCTGGAGTTGCACAACAAAGCACATCAAGCCATTTATTTCACAAGGTATTCATTTACTCCCCCTCGGAACAAAGTGCCTTCCTGGTGAAGGTAATATGCAGGTTCCTTACTGTTTCAGCAACCCAAATCAAAATTTTCATTCCTGTTTTCAAGAGAACTCATCAGTGTTGTCAGTGATATTTCCACTAATCAAACGAGAGTAAACAAGATTTGTAATCCTGATTTGTGTTTGTTTCATTGCAGAACTGAAATACTAGTCATCTTTCCTGAAAACTGCCATGCAGTGATTGAAATCAGCAAGTTTGGTACAGCGTGAGAACTTTTTTATATATTTTAAAACACTTGAAAGTTCTGCTGCATTCTGCACAGATCTGATGTCTGCTCTGTGTGACAGCGACAGGGCTGAGGGAACGGCATGGAGCTGTCAGGGGAGGGCAGCTGGGGGAAGGGAAAGGGGCTGCAGCACAGCGCGGTGGGCATGGAGCGGGATGCACAGGGCTGTGGGCACGGACCCCAGTGCCGGAGTTCAGGGGGCATTTCGGCAGTGCTTTCAAACATTGGGTTTGAACGTTAGGTGGTCCTGTGTGGAGTTGGGAGTTGGTCTCTATGATCTTTGTGGCTCTCCTTCGGCTCAGGATATTCTATGATATCAAATCTACATATAATCTCCCCAAAAACATCTTTTTGGTTAGTACAGAACCCTTACTCTTCAACCTGAACTGAATAAAGTGAATTTAGTTGTCAGGAAGAAATATGGATATAGAAATGTCATTCAAGACAATAAAGAAAACAGAAACCAGCACAGTGACCATTTTATCTAAAGCCACAAAAAGTAATTTCCTATGAACTATTTGGGGATTGAACAGCAACATGCTTTAAAAACAACTGCTCAGAAGCCATTTCTAACCCATAACTATTTCCAATCACAGATACAAGTACTTCACTTTGACCTCGGTGGAACTATATATGTGCTTAAAGTTAAATAATTCATTGAAACAAATTCAAAGTTTACCACAAGTTTACCACTTATTAAACATAAAACATAAAAAAACATAAAACATAAAAAATGGATATACAAAGTTTATTTTCTGGGGAGAGTAATAGGAATTTTCAGTAAAAATGCTGATGTTGTTAAGAAGTGTTAAAAATTCCTAGAAAGACCCAGGTCTTACCTGAAGTACAATATAAAAAATATATATATGAGCAAATATGACTTGAATATTTACTATCTCTACAGAGCTGAGTAAATAAAAAGCTCAACCTGAACATCCTTCAGTTCAGTGTAGATCAAACCTGAATGTCAGTTTTGTAGTCTGAAGTATTTGGGGACACTTAACAATGTAAGCAGAAAACATAACTAGTAAAATACTTCTTAAAAATATATAAAAAGTATCTAAAGTGAGCATCACTTGGAGGATTCACCATACAAAACAACGCGTACCTAGAATAGCAGGAGGTCGGTGTGCCCTGACCTCTTGATTTCAGACAGAAGTTTTGCTTTGATGGGAATTCTTTTCTTGTGATGTAAACTGTGCTGCAGTGTGTGGGTGGGAGAAAAACATTTCAGAATCTTCTTCCATGAACAAAACGACCAATTCTGAAGAAGTTAATGCCTCCAGATGCCCTTATAAACCACAACTAGCATATGAAGGAATGTGTTCTCCACCATCTGAGCAATGTAACCACAGCTCTGAAAAAAAAAAAGAGCTATCTTTTGTAGAAGGATAAGAACTGAGCTTTCTGCATATCTGCATGATTTAAGACACGATATCCGTGAGGACAAATCCCCCCTCCCAGGCAGGTTTTTGAATCATTTAACTTCCATAGCCTTTTTAACACCTTGCAATCTAACTCCATAATCCATTCAAAGAAAACAGCAAGTTTGTTATATACAAATATGTATGCAAATGTATGCAAATAAGTATGTTATATTGCACATAAATTTTTAAGCTTCAGTATCCGAGGCCTGAGAAACTCACCTCAAGTTTTGCTGAAGCAAAATATAATTTAAAAAAATCTGAACTTTAAAAAATAGACCTGCTTGCTTAGGTTCCTTCTTTGGTCATGGTCTGTTCTTTGTTGACTTCCTGAAACATGCTTAAATACTAGGTAATTTAATTTATAAATGATATGCATGTTCTTGGATGATGTGCAGCTTTTCTTCCCTTAGGTTATTCATTTCTTATCATTAGATATCTTCCCTTTCTTTCTGCTTGTGCAGGTTTATAGACTAGTTTATTTATTACTTTTTTATTAACAAGTCTTTTTGTGTCATTAATCACGGATTAAATCAATCCCAGCATGAAAATTGCATTAACAAATGTGACCCAGATCTTCGATGTCTTTGAAGTACTGGTAGCATTATTTTGCTCTTTAGTGTGTGTAGTTACTGGTGACTGCAGTCACCAGTAACATGTCAGAATCAGTGTAGTAAGGAATAATTTACTAACATTTAAGAATAGTTTACATAGATTTCTATTATGCAGTATAAAATATCCTGTGTGTTTTAGATTGCACAGCAGTCTGCATAATCCACAACACTGATTCATTCATTCAGTTGATGGAATCCTTCAAGTAAAATTGCAAGCAGCGAGTAAAGTCATTTTCTACCCTTTCTCACTGAAGGGCATACTTCCTTTAGAGATGGCCTGTTGTCAGCAGAAACTAAAAAGAATAACGTCTTTCAAGAAGTAAGCTTTTAAAAATATATATATTAAAAAATAAAAAGAGAACTCTTGTGTTTCCCCTCTTCGAACAGCAAAATAAGAAGTAATTTGAGTATTTGGTGAGGGAATTTCATGCCAAATTTTTTTTAGGCTAGTAAGAAAATGTTAGCTTTTCTGACTGAAAGATCTCTGAAATCAAGTTCCACCTGTAAAAGTTCATGCCATCCCTCTGTCACGGAGACCTGTCATGTCGCTGGAGGTGTTCAAGGTCAGGTTGGATAGGGCCCTGGGCAGCCTGGCCTGGTGGGAGATGTCCCTGCCAATGGCAGGGGCTTGGAACTGGGTGGGCATTCAGGACCTTACCAACCTAAATCATTCTGTGATTCCATGATTCTATGAAAAAAAATAGAGTCAAACTTGTTCTAACCAGAAAATGTACCACTCTGTGGATGGAAATATACCAATTTGCCATAAAGCAATTGTGCCAAGAACAGTGGCAAAGGCGATGCCTTCTCACAACTTATACTCTATGCTTTTATGACATTAGTTGTTTTGTGTGAATGCAAGTGACACTGGAGAAGAACTTGAGAACTGCTAGTGAAAAATTACCAAGTCAATTGCTGGCTTGTCCTCTTTCATTGCTTTGTGAACTTTGGATTTCTCTTCAGTTCCTTCCATATAGACAGTCATACTGTTTGAAATGGATAACCTCAATATCCTGAAGTAAACAACCACAGGCGCCCTGATCTGATCAAAGCAGAACTTTTCCTGAATTTAACTTTACAGAAGACCTGATGCTCACCTTCCCAGCTGACTGGGAATCAGAACATGTAGTGATGATCAGAGCTAGATACCTAGAGAGTGTGCGAATTAAACTTCGTACTCTGAACTGCCTTGAGTAATGAGACCTGTATTTTGATCCTGGACTGAAGAACTTAACTTAAGAACATCTCAGACAGCAGCATGCTGGCTAGGCAATCAGTAATTGTGACAAGGTCACAAGGAAACAGGAGGGGTTTCTGTTTCAGCTTTCCTCTACTGGCAAAATTTTAAAAAAGACAGGCAAAAAAGAAAAAGTGTCTCTGTTCCTAACAGTCCTCATATGACATCTGCTAGAAGTGGTTAGATGATCTATCTGTCTGCATATTAATAACGCGGCGCGGGCCCCCCCCCACTATCTCCCACTCATTGTATCAAAAACTCTTGTTTTGGCTGCTAACTGTGCAGTTTTATTTGGAACTAGTGCTCAAAAGCCATTCCTTCAAAATAGTTGTGCTGGAAATTTTCTCAAGACACAAAATGTACAAAGACTGATGACTAATACTTTTATTCATGAACACTGACTAACAACTAGCCTATAAAAATATGAAAGAACAGCATTGCATTGGATCTATTTTTGTTCCATTGTCATTTTAATTAAAATTGTAACTTGTGGCCACTTTTATGTAAGTGGAAGATTTGTAACATAATTCTTTTTCATTTATTTGTATACAAAGCAAGATATTTGGATAACCGTGCTAGGAAACAGTTTTGTAGTAGATCAGCCTATGCAGGTTTTCCGTTTAGAGTAAATGTCCATATTCTGTGCTGTTATCCATATACATTAATTTGAAAGCTTAATTAGAGGCTCAGATGAAGAAAGATGTATGGATATTGTCAGAGGTGGTTGCCTGGGGAGAAGAATTTTAAGCCTGCAAGAAGCAGAGCTGAGGAACCCAAAACTTTCCTCTCCCCCGTGCACTCTGAAATAGCAGTAAGAATGAAGATGAAAGCTACTGTGAAAGGAACAGAATAACTTGCAGATTGCTAATGCCTGTAACATTCATTTAAAAGAAGACAAGCCTCCTTATGTTTAGTGGTAGTTGTGATTTAGGTATAAAAGTTGACTAGTTTTTATTTGGGAGGCACTAGGGTGGGGAGGCTCTGCGACTACCACAGTAATAAACAAGCTTCAAGAAAAATGATTGAAGCAATCTTGTCTTCAATCTTATTTGTGAAATCACTGTTAACCAAGACCCTGGACCAATGATTACTAATGTAATAGAATAAACTGCATTTGAGCCTATGGAATTTAAGTCATATTCTAAATGAATATTGTCTTCTGAGAGACTTGGAGGTAAATAGAGTGATTGTGCTATAGAATTTAAATTTCAGTTAGCTCTCTGAATCCTAACATTTCACATTAATTAATCAAAAATACATTTTAAGCAAACTCTGATTTAGTCTTTAGCTACAAATTATTTCATTTTACCCTTAATCAGTAATTCAAGATATCAGCTTCCATCAGGCAAAACAGTCTAAAAGTATCTAAGGAGACTGAACTGATTTAGCAACTCAGGAACATTTTTACTTACACTCAGAGTAATTAGAGTATGCAAACTGCTATGTTGAAATTCAACATTTCATTTTATTGTACATCAGTGTATTTGGAAAGGCAAAAGAAAAAAAAGAAGGAGGAATTATACTCTTGAAGAAAACAATTCTATCCCATTAAATACATCAACATTATAATATACATCAGAGGTGTTTTATAGAGCACAGTATTCGATATTTGCTACAGCACCTTTTAAAAATGCCATAGTATTAGCCTTATTGCATGGGCATGCCTTTATTAGCTTTGTTAATTATATTAATAGATGGTTTTATGCAAAGATTATGCTAATCTTTGTAGTCTGCCTTTTCAGACAGGTATAATCTAGTCTTTCTCTTTGAAAGCTCCTACTTCCCTAAAGTCAAGGAGCTTCGTTGCTACTTCTCTCTTTTAGGATGAGTATGTTTTCCCAGAAAAATGACTTGACAATTTTTAATAATAGCTTTCCTTCTCTAATATTCACCAGAGAGAAACAAGTTAAGCATTGCCCTGAACTGCGAATGATGGATTTAGAATCAAGCAACTTCCAACATGAAAAAATTCAAGTTGCCATACACAGCTCTACTGTTGAACATTGAGAAATACTTCAGTCTCAAGAACAGGGAACCAATGTTCAAAATTCAACCTGCAGACAGCACGAATATCTGGTACCTTAAAGAGTGTGGTAGTCAGCAAAGCAAATGCAGTTCACATGCAGTTCACAGACTCATTTAATAATTACTACTTATAATTTTATAATTATAATAAGCTTCCAGAGCAGTACTCAGCTTACAGGAGGAGATGCGAGCCAAGCATTGCTGCTTGTCTCCAGAAAGCAACCAGCTGCAGCATCCCCTCCCACTCTGCCCAGTGCTATTTACCTGTTTCTTCTGTGTGGACAACAGACCTTCTCCCCCTGTTTCTGCCCCCGTCCCAGATTTCCTTTTGGAGACTTCCAGCTGGGCTAGGGCCAGGCAGCCTGTTCTCCTAGCAGGGACAGACAGCAGTCAATATGAGCAACCCATCTCCTGCAAGTTCATCCCCTGCAGCCATCACGTAAGCTTACCTGCCTGGCGCCAGCTGCAGACACTTGCAGGAAGGAAGAAACAGGGGCACCTGCTTTCTTGTCACCAGGGGACACGGGTGGCTGCTCTAGCGGAGACCTTGCCCGGACCCTGTAGATCAGCTCACTGCGCAGAGCTTCTAGCTCTGTTTTCAGGGTGATAGCATGGTAAAGAGACACTGCTGCAAGACAAGAGGACAGGAGCATTGCAAGCCACAGGAATGTGACAGAAAAAAGTCCCGTGGTGCCTGAAGCAGCACCGGGGGGGCCAGAGGGAGAGGAGGCGGTATCCTTCTGCTGGATGACGTGCACACAGTCCACGGATTTCATCGCTGCTCTTTCCTCACTAAAGCCAGAGGGAGAGTTCAGCTGTCCCCTTCCGTGGTGCAATCCATGTTACCCGCTGCTCTGTGAAACTAAGGGCATCCAGAATAAGTGAACAAAACGCCCAGATCATTTCCTGTCATATGAAGCCGTTGATACAACCATTAAACCTAATGTACAGAGCGAACATCTGATTCAGTCTCCGTTTAGCTTTCTTCTTTCCGCACTGCATTCTGGCAGTGAGTACTTTCTGATGAGCTGCTTGCTCAGTCTGCCTTCCTCCTTTCATTTTCAGCTATTTATTTTTGTGGCAACTTGCTTTCACCATTTCCCATTATCTTTAAAGTTAGGCATGACTGGTACCATGGGTATTTAAAACCTTATCTAGAAGTGCAGAAACAACGTAAGGTTTCTTTGCAGCATATCTCTGAGTGCTACTTAAAAGAGATAAGCATATGACGTTATGCACGCCTGTAAGTATATACATATATGTATATAATATTATATATATATGCATACATATCTGAAGTGACTGTAAGCCTACAAGTGGCAATTTATGGAAATACCAAATTTTGTGTTTTCCTAAACACAATGGTGAAAAATATTCTCAGGTGTGAATAACAATTTACTGGTCTCTCAAGCATATGAAGTGGCAGAGTCTGCAGTTCAATTCATCATGTGCTTGGAAAGTATGGTTTCTGAACAAACTAATCTGATAAATGAGACCCCACTGTGGAATTCGAGGACTTGTGCTGATGCACATGAGGACAGAGAGTGAGGGAGAGGAGACCTAGAAGGAAGGGGAAAACTAGAAAATAAGAAGCAATAAGAGAGGGAGAAGAAGAACGGGGAGAAAGAAGAACCAATGGGTGTAGAAGGAAAATAATGCTTAGAGAATTTTGAAAAGGCAACATTAAACATGCACACTAAAGTTTTTCAGATGAATCCTTTGTGGATGGCCTCAGTTAATCTCTTTTTAAGATTTTACTGATCCTTCCATCTTAAACTCCTGCATAAGGAATTCTTTTCTTCTACTAAAACATCCCAAACACATGCTTATGCTTCTTGTATTGTCTTTTCACCAAAAAAAAAATTTTTTTTTTTTACTCCTTCATTAAGGGTTTCAGTGATCTGTATCAGAAAGAAAGATAAAAAAGAACCACAATCAAGACTAAAATCAACAGGTCATCCCCCACTGCAAACTACAATTTTTGGCCACATAGGTAGACTTTAACTGCATGAGAAAGAGAGAGCTTTTAAAGGTCTGTTCAAATACTGTGCAAGTGAGCTGCATCTTCTGACCCTACCCGTCAGAACAGTTCAGATCAAGCTGATACTGTGATACTGTTGGGAAGGAGAAAAAAAGAACAGAAATAAAGAAAAAAAAAAAAAATAAAAAAATTAGGTAGCCTCTTCTACATCTGTTTCTTAAGACTGTGGGAAATTGGTGTCATTAAAAGTTTTATCAACTCCCATTGCAATCCAAGGTACTCTTTTCCTTGCTTTGCCACCTCTAACAATTATTTAATATCCTGCATGGACCAGTCATTATTTTCCTAAAAGGAGAGAAAAAAAGAAATGCATACCACATACCTTACCGTGCTTCTGGAAGATGCCTGCATACCTTGAAAAGTGACACCGGTACACAGTGGAATGAGAGTGGAATACCATACCATACCCTGTATCTGTCTGTATCTGTTTTCAAGGCTAAGGTGTAAATGGTACATTTTGAAGGAAATTTAAGATGTATTAAGGTAGGTTTGGGCACTGAATAAGCTCTAATAATAAGTTATCAGAACTAAACAGATGTGCTTTGAGGTATCACTGGACATGAGAATGTTACCATTCTATTACTGTGTTCCAAATATAATATGACAGCCAGAAAAGGCACACTACATGAGAAAATGAAACAAATTGAGAAAATGAAAGTCATAACTAGCTGTCCAGGAATATTGGGAATAAATTTGCCAGTGAGGTCTCTGTGGTCATTAACATACAAGAAAATAGCTGACAGGTATGTAATTAACATCAACCTCATTACTTCTACAGCAAATAGGCTGTTTCCTTCTCCCACATCTTTAAAGGGGTTCACTATGTGGGCTGACAATATAATTGCAGTGACACAGAGGTCTTCTGTAAGACATCTGGTTTCGGCTTGCTCATCATTCTGACAGATGAGAGCTTCAAGGGGGAGAGGAGGCAAATCAGAACAACCCACACATTGCAAGTTCTTAATTCAACAGGTGTTTCTATTCAAGTATCAAAGGGATCAGTCTGGTTTTGACGGCATGCTGTTCTACAGTTTCACAAGCATTTAAGTGATGAGAAGGGAAATCCAATTGCTGATGAATTTTGCAGACAGAAATGTAGTGGAACAATAGCAGTGAGACATCAGTCATGGGGGAAAAAAAGCACAAACTGCCTTATATACTTACATAGTTGTACAATTTAACATTTTATCAGAGTAAAGCAAAGCTTTTTTAGGCCTCGAAAGGCATCAGAACAACATTTCAGAAAGTTGAGTTTAGAAAACAAACAAGTATGCTGGCTTCAGGGCCAAGCATGTGGATTTCATGGGCAGCGTGTGTCTTGGGGCCAGGTCCTGTCACAGCGCAGCACAGCAGGCCTCACACTTGCCTTAAAAATGCCAGTAAGCTTCTGTTAACCTTACTGTTCTGTTAACCTTGCCGGCATTGCTTTAAGGAGGTGTGAGATGCAGTTTCTTCAGCTCCTTAAGTCACAGTATTAGTAAAGTGGGGTGCTCAGATTAGGACTGCCCATTAGGAGACGTGAGAGGGTGTTGACTCCCTCTGAACACGAGCTCTCAGTAGGATTTCCATGTTGTAACAGAAGTGGAGCATTTGGATATACACAGTGGAGCAAAATACTGTGCTAAAATAAGAGGCAGCTGTAGCTGTGCTTTTAACTAATCTGCACTGCGCTTAACAGTGAAGATGGGTCAGAACAAAAATCCAGAATGACTGTACATGTCAGAATGAGCTTATGACAGAAAGGGCATTCACTCCGTGGTTAGCAGCCTGCTTCTTGAAAGCTCTGGTGCAGAAGTTTGTGCCATGTTAACTGTTTGGGCTTAGCATGCATGCACTGTGCTACAAATCCCTGCAGTAAAGCCTTAGGGCAACAAGTGGCCACCACAAGCTCACTTCAGAGCACCTTTTTCCAAATGATTTCCAGAAAATAAAATGCCACCGCAATTAACTGCAGTAGTCTACTCCTGGCCATACAACACTGGAAATAAATAGGATGAAATTTTTAAAATAAAGCTATTCTGAAAATATGTCCTATTCTACATGTGCAGTGTGGCTGATTCATGCACAGAGCATTCCAACCATTTAGCACCACCTTAATCCAAATAATGAGCTATGTTAAACACAGGGTAAGAGGCTTTTCTAAATTTCACCAAAGAAACTTATTTAGAAATTGGATTAGCTGGTCTAAAAATTGTACTGAACCCAGACTTTTACTTTTGGGAGAAAGAGCATGAGATAGAATCATAAAAGTTGGAAAAGATCTCTAAGATCATCTAGTTCAACCTTCCACCTACCACCAACCATGTTTCTTAGTACCACATTTATATGTTTCTTGAGGGTATAAGTCAAACTAAGAAGGGGGAAAAAAAGTATTTAAAAAAAACCCCAAAATTTGACCACTGAAGATTATTAATGGTGAGGGTGTTTTGCTAGGAAATCTTTGCTAGGTTGGATCTTTAAGAAAATGAAGACTGGCTAGACTTCCGAGAGATTACAGCTGAAACAAACTGTAATTTCTGCAAACAGCTAAATTCTTTCATTTCCAGTACACGGAATATCTGATTAAAAGGTCAAGATGGGCCCTGCTAACCTGTAAATGTGTAAAACATCATCACTACATCTGTGGGGAGCCAAAGCAGAGATAGTGAGTAATCGCACAGGAAATTTGTGGTTGAACCAGAAACTGAACCCTTGATTTCCTGAAATCCAACACTGTACTTTAACCACAAAAAGCATCTTCTGCTTTGAGAGGGAAGAAAATCTGATAATGAAGTTTAATGTAAAAAAGAGAAGCAGATGATTTGAATAAGAAGACCTGGATTTAAAAGAAAAAAAAAAGAAAGAAAAAAAGAAAAGAAAAAGCTTATTGAAGAAATGAAAATTTACTTAAAATTATTACTTAAATGTTTAAATACTTAAAATACTTAAAAAGAAATTTCATTAAATGTTCTGTTTCTAACAGGGAGGTTGTACAGATACAACATAGAGATCCAGCCAATATCAGTGATCACATTAAGAGTACATTTCTTAATAGAGGTCCAATATGCTTCTGAAACAGCCACAAAATAGAACTGGTCCCTGTGGCTATTGCAAAAAGAGACCAACTACAGTACTTGCCATACTACAGAAGATAGGACTGAACAGATAGAGTACAGAATAAGCAAAGCACATGCATGTCAAGTCCTTTCTGATGACGGAGGAAAGGGTCAACTATTGCGGAGATTAGAATAAATCCTGTAGGACAGCTTTCTGCTGTTACAGTTATCTGCATTAAGATCGTTTATAGACAGCAATCTGAAACAGCGTACATTATCTTTAAGGACACTTACTAAGTTCCTCCAGCTATCAGCCAGGATTTACATGTGGCTGAGTATTTACACTCAATTAAAGCTTAGGAAACTATTGAATACATTACAAGTAGAGGATGTGTTATGCAAACGTTTTAAATCTTATCTGATATATTAACTGGTTACAAGAAAAAAAAAAAGCCATGAGATAATTTTCTGAAACAAGAATATCCTTTTGTCTTTGCAAATGTATCTCCATACATTTCAAATATGCCACGCTTGATTTATGCCTCACCTAAGACTATTTTTCTACACACCTAAACAATTTTGATCCAAATCTGGTACGCACATTACACAAAGCGAACATTCAACTGACTTGCAACCATCATTACTATTTGCATGGCTTTACATTACAGTGCTTTCAAAGAGGGTAGGAAACATAACAGAAAGGAAAAGCAATTCTTATGGGTGTCTCTTAAAATACGCAACAGAACAAAGAATATAATAAAATCAAATATATAATTAAAAAGAAGAAAAAAAACAGAAAAAAAAAACAAAAACCCCTCAAAAATACCAAAGCACACACAATTATATACTATAGCACCTTAACTCCTCCTCACCCGCTCCCCCCATGATGCTATAGTAATTCTTTCTTACTGCACGGAGCAAAAGGAGCTCTGTCATACAGCTGTAGCTCACTTGTCTTGTAGGCTCACTGGTTTGGGTAACTAGCAACACGGAGTGTATCTCCAGCTCTTTGACACTATGCAACTTGACAGATTTTACACAGATGGGCTAGAAATGCATCTGTATGGCAGCAAAGTAAACAGCGAGCCATGGCCCTTCACATGGGAATGGTTGCTATTCTGCTGATTAAATTTGTGGACGCTTAATAGATGGAACAGGATGGGAATCCAAATATTTTCAAATCACAGCATTTCTCCATAGCTGCATCTATTTGCTACACTGTTCCTGAATCCTCAAGGACTGAAAGGGACAATATTCTGCCTGACCTTCTACTTTGCCTTCTTGTAAATAATTACCCCACACCAGACGTAAGCATAATGCAGAACAGCTGTAGAACTTCCTTTCTTTCCATCTTCAAGCAGCAAAATCTGCTTCCTAGCTGCTTGTCAAAACTAGCAGAAACATCTCTCTGGAACTTGGGCTAGAACACAGTTACTGTGCCTTTGCAGCATAGCATTGTTCAGCTCATCACTTAAGACAAAAATACTGTCTATCCTAAGCTCACTGTTATGAGTGAAACCAAGCTCTGTAATGCATTAAAAACAGGGCTGCTATTACTCTGCATTATTTTCAGAGGAAAGAAAACTGCCATTCTTCAAGACAGAGGAGAGTTATTCTGTCCCCACTCAAGTGGAACCATAACAAATGAATCACACTAATGTTTTCAGCACACTTCCAGAAAATACTCAGTTTATTTTTCTTATCTACTTACAGAAAGAGAACTCTTTAAAAAGTCTAAAACTAAGACCTTGAAAAGGGTCCAGCAAAGGATTTAATGCTCATTAATGCTCATTAACAATAATGAGAAACACAATGAAAAATATTTCCTAGGCGACATGTTCAGACCAACTCTCAGCTCTCCAGATAAAAAAGAAGTCCTGAAAGGCAAAAAGTGACAGAAAGCCATGAAGGGCTACCATGAGTTTTATTTACTTACTAATGCTTTGTGAAAGCAAAAATGTGACAAAGCTTAGAAATAGACAGTTAATTTATCTTCCCTCCTATTTGTAATAACTTTTCACAAATGTCACCTCTAACAACAGAGATGACTATTTCATGTGCCCTGGCAACTGAAAATGATACCCTGACCAGGCATACAAAATTACCCTGTACTCATACTGAAGACAGGTCACAAACTAGAACAAGACATCAACAGCACTTTTAATGTATCAATTTATTGCATATGTCAGTACATAAAAATAGAAAAGTGGTTTTTGTAAAATTAATTTTATTGTAAAAACCAGACTAGAATGAGAATGTAAAACTTTGCCACAATTAGCACATATTGATACAATAACATTTATGCTTCATCTACAAAACTTAAGAATATTTTATTATGACATTTTTCCATTAACTATACACTAAAGAAAAATCAAATAAGAGAGCTTGAATCATTTATTCAAATGACTATTCCTGAATTCAAAACATGAGTGTTGTTTAGAACTTGAGTATGCTTTCTCTATCTACACTTCTGCAGGATTCTACTCTGAATTATACAAGCAGGATGGCACTGTAAATTATTCTCAGTGGGATACACCAGGCTGATCCCACCAGTGCAGGAGGCACTGCTTTTGCATTTGACAGATGTATCCTTAGGAAAATCACTTGTTATTAACAAAATAAAAATAGGCCTTTCAATAATTAAATTATGGAATAGAAATGGAGGTACGTCTGCATCTTTTTGCTAATAGGAGAACATACCTTGGTATTCAGCCTTGTATACTTCACTAGGAACATTCAAGGTGACACAAATGATTAGCTAAGAGATGCTGATATGCATATTCTATATAAATAGTTAAGCCATTTGCCCTTCATCTGAGAGATTGTCCATAACCTACCAAATGCATTTGTGCTATATTTCTAATTTTACCTGAGAAATGGACATGAGGGCAGTTTTATCAGTTTACCTTTTTCTTTCATTCCCATCTCAAACCATAGCTTATCTCTGCAATTCACAGTTCAGAAGCAAATACCAGGAATGTAAACTTGGGTCAGCAGGAAGCCTCAAGTATTTTCACTAATTAATACCAAACACACAAGGTATTGTACTAGATGATTCCTTACATGGACTCTACAGCTATAGCTGTTCAGCTCCATCACTCCACCATTCCTCCTCCACCCCTGGACTTTTTTTTTTTCCTTTTTTTTTTTTTTTTTAAACAAAGTTCCTCTTATAAAAGGGACAATTCCTTTAATGAACATACTCAATGTGAAAGGCTTTCTTACAAATCTGTGAAAATAAATCAACTTCCTCTTCTCAAACTAGAAACATATATATACACATACAACAATCACTTGGGAAACATTTATACACAAACAGAGAACTGGTATGGGAAAACATATCATGGAATTAAGTGCAATAAATGCAATAGTATTTTAAGAATTTTTGGCAATATGAAATTATTACTATGATTCTTGCAATGTACTGTCTGAAAATGGCTTTCCACAGAAGACAACCATGAGTTGCCATCATATAGACCACAAAACAAAGCAAGTCCTGTTTTGTCAAGCTACAAGATTCTTCTTTCTTTTCCCTCAGATCATATTTACAGCATTTGAATATTTGCATAACTACTTTCTTCCTGTCTTCTTTCAGTGGCTTTCATAGCCAATGCAATGAAAAACAGAATGATAATAGGCATTCATCTGCATGTGGATGTGTCCAATGTATTAAGCCCATTTTTGCTTCTTCCTCATATGGAAAGTGGAATACATTAAGTAAGCGTATATGATGACTGCATCTTCTCGGTATTTGTAAAACCAGATATCTTTATGTCCTGCAGACACTATGGCGAAAAGATATGGCTTGATAATAAAAAGTAAGGTTTAAATACAGTGCACTATGAACAGCTCCTCTTCACTATAACCCAAGGCCACACAATTGACATTGACGTTAACTGTGGGCCCAAACGAGAATATTCATTTGTATGGAAATGCCACATAATCCAGAAGGCTGGAAGGGAAATGGAGGTGTTCTGGGTTGATGTTTTTGCCTGCCTATTTGATCTGTGCAAAGTGGAATAGAATCTTTACTTAGGAAATTCACATATAATGACAAATACAATAGTGTTTAATGGCAAGCTATGATAACTTTTGAAACAACTATTTATCTGTATTTAGTCTTCCAGTAATTTTTTTCTTTTCTTTTGGCTTTATCACTTGTTTTCAGAAAAAAGCAGTACACATCCACTTATTTTTCTTTCTCCCTTATCCCTCCACTTTAATTCAAAAGTATTATGAAATAACTGAAGCAATATATCATGGGTGACAGAAGAACCAGCACTGTTTTTTAAAACATCACAAAAAGAGAATGCTCCTCAGTCCTCCCAAATCAAATGGCACCAAAATCTTTTCTTCAAAAACCTCTGAAAAAAGAAGACCATTGTACATTTGAGGACATGGTTTGTCAAGTTCTAAGCTATACTTTGTCTGCAATGATTTTAAGTCTTCAGGTTCAAAAGCATCTACACCTTCTTCAACCATTTCTGAACGGATCTTAGTAATAGAATGACAAAATATACTTACCAGAGTTAGAAGCAAATTCTGGTATGTATGCTTGTTTAAAAAAGAAAAAAAAAATTGAAAGGATGATATTGAAGTGTTTATAATAAAATAAGTATCATTATCTGTAATCTTGACAACATGCATGTCCACATTATAACTAATTCCATGTAAAAAATTGGAGGCATAACTACTGAAGTACTAGTTCAGGAAAGCAGTTTTATTCAACAAAAGAACTTATGCTCAAGCTTAAAATATTCTGATGCTTTTCTGAATCACAGCATCATGGTGAAAAAATAATTTTATTTAAAAATTTCAACCTCGAGGGAAATTGTACAGATTTGGTGTTGGTGGAAGACTTTTCCACAGCTCTTCCCATAAAAATTGAAGAGGCAAACTCTCAGCTGCAGCAGATGGGCAATTCAATCTGTAGAATAATTTACACAACACACCCCATTAAACTGAACTAATACCATGCAAGTTTGGAAAGATTACTTGGATAAAGCCAAAACCCAACATCGAGTCAGAATCAGGCTCATTCAGAGCATTGCTGGCTCTGATATGATGAGATACAATCCTAAAAAATTCCAGTATAACTAAAGAAAACTCAGTTCTACTGCCTATGCATTGGCCACTTTCACACCATGTGACAGAAGTGCAAAAAAAATTAAATTTGTTTTATAAGCAAGAGAGTATTAATGTTCTCCAACTAATCTTATAGCTGTTAACGTGCTGCTCATTCTTATTACTCTTACTGTAACGCCAGTCTATGTTACTCCCCAACTGTAATCACTGGTATTTATTTAGATTTATTTATACCTCCAAAAGAAACAAAGGGCACGGATATTTAAAACCAAACACAAATAGGTAACTTGCGTGATGCTTCCATCCATCACGCTGACCACTCCGCCTTAGGAAATCCTACCTCAGCTATATGGGCTGACAACATCAACACTAACTTGCAGGCAAACAGATGAGAGATTTAGTTGGAGAGGACCTTTAGAAGTCAAATCATACTGCTCTCTTTTTGAGTGTTACCTCTATCTTTTACGAAGAAACTGCCTGGGCAAAATCCACCAGCCATCATGTTCAGCCACTTACAACTTTATAATAAAAAGTGGGCCATACTATCATACAAACAGTAAACTGAGAACAGGGAAAATGTCATTTCCTCTTCAATTGCAGTTTGAAATATATATATAAATGTGTATGTATAACTGTTTTAAAAAAAATAATGAAGGATGGTATACTTGTAAGTATACACTATCATTAATGTTATTGTACATTATTTAGCACATTAAAAGACTTCCCACCTTGCATAATATAAAATTTCAAGGAATAAAACTATCTCATGCATGGCACAATTTAAATAAACTCAAGAAGAAACAACAAATCATTGAGCTAACCATGACTGTCCATAAAGCTCACACATACAGCAGTGAAGCCTCCCATTGTTCTAAACTAACATGTTCTGTACTATTCTTGTAGCAAGTTTTTTGTTTTTTTTTTCTTTTTTCTTTTAATAGCAACTGTTGTACATATCAAACAAATGGAGTATTTGGACAGATATCAAAAAAGTATGAGAAAGACATAAAATGGTTCATTTACAATGCTGCAAATGTAAAAGTTATCTGGAACATCTTAATAAAGCATCAGACCTTTCAAAGTTTAATTTCACTCTTCAGGCAAGTACAGACATGACATACATTTAAAAATGGGCATTCTTTTACCACTTCTCACAAATCAAGACACAGTGCAGGTATAGCCCTACACCAAAGAAGAATATCAGTTATATTATTGTTACATTAGATGATGTTTTTGCCATTTCTTCAGAGGAATGACTCTTTATTACATCTTTGATGAACTGTTCGAGTGCAGTGAAATATCCCTGGCACTGCCAAGTGTCATTATGAGTTCCATCAGGAAAAATTGCCAATCTCTTAGTCCGAGCTGGGGATAATTCATAAAGTTGCTTCATCATAACTGGTGGAATTAACTGGTCAGACAACCCAGAGATGAAGAGCGAAGGCATTCTGCACTGAGAGATTTTCCTGTAGGACAAAAACTTATTTTTGTAGCACCATAAAGGAAGGTATCTCATTGGAAAGAAAGAAAACAAAGTGCTGGCCATGTGTGGGATGCTAAGAAAGGTGTTCTCAACCATGATGGCAGATATCCTATGGGAATTTTCAGATGCTAAATGAATAGCTACTGCTCCCCCTAAGGAACGGCCAAAGAGAAAAATTTTTGTTTTATCAAGATCAGACCGAGTCATCACATAGTCTAACACAGCCTCAGAATCTATGTACAGGCCTTCTTCACTTGCTTCTCCTTCACTTTTTCCATACCCTCTATAATCAACTAGGATTAAGTTTACTTTCAGGTTTACTAGCATTAACAAAGCATTTGGCAACCTGTGGCCAATGTTGCCTGCATTCCCATGAAAGTAAATGATGGTTGGAGAATATGCTGCATTGTCCCCCGTGTATCTCAGCAGAATAAGATTGAGAAGAACTCCATCTTTGGTTTTGATGAAGATGTTTTCATGTGGTATACCAGTAGGCATAGGAACATAAAGGCGTGATGAAGAGGGCTGTTCAGGAAAGTAAAGCAGCATATCCTGGAATTTATATAATATACCTGCTATTGACACAAATATTAGTAAGAGTAGTATGATGCCTCCATACAAGTGGAAAGTTACTATCAAAGGTAAAAGAGAAATACGGCAGAGACCCCAAGACCAGGAAGCCAAAGCTAGTAGCCATCTTTCAACAAAGGTCCAAAGCATCCGTGACTTTTCCATTGTAGTAGTCAGTGATCTTCTACTTCAAGTAAATCCTATAAAAAATCCAAAGAGAAATATAAATATAAGAGAAAAAAGAATCTCTTTAATCTTCTGGAAATATGAATGCCTTGTTGTACATCATTACACAAAAGCATAAACATTATACTTGATGGGAAAACCCCTTCCAATTTTTGGAAAACATTCAGATCTGAGTAACAAGTAAAAAAGCAAACATAAGAAAAAGGCTTTAAAATAATCCTAAATCCCAATTACAGAATCTCAACAGGCAATATCTAACAGTAGCACTAAAAATTAATTTACTGGAACCTCAACCTGCATTTTCCTTCATTTATCCCTGCTGTCCACAACAGAAAACATACACTTTGGATTGTCAAAAGTTCTTGTAAGTAATTCTAGAATCCAGGGAACACAAACAAAAATAGCTGTTCTTTCTACACTGCTACTGATTAAGTAATGTTAAGAGGAACATTGAGTAAGCCTATGTACTTCACTCTGCAACCAATCAAGGCTAACAGCACACACGTAGGGACAGCTATTGTTTAGTTGTTGTAATCACAGTTGATCAAGGTTGTGCAACACAGAGTAACACACCAACCTATCAGAAGAAAGAAACTCCATTACAGCAAGATACCACATGGTGCTTACATTTATAACACATTTTGCTATTTTTTTTTCTTAGTTCTGATTTATAAAGACTGCTGTATGCTCTCAGATCTGTAAGCCATACTGAATCTGTAGCTAAATGGCACAATTGTCATCATACAAGACCACTGAGAACAGTAGCTACCTATGTTATGCTACCCTGATCGATGAAAAGCACAACTGTTGGTAAGTCCAAAAAGAAAAGACACATCATAAACACACAATGCATAAGATGACAGTGACATCCTAAAATAAAGGATTAAATTCTCTGGATCAGGCCGAAAAAAGGTCACCTCTATAAGCCACTCCCCAGATAAGCATGGAAAAAAGTCCAGGAAAAACTGCCATCTTTTATGCAAATTATTACAAGTAAATCAGAAACAAATCTGTTACACCTTAATATTTGCACATTTATCAAGTGCAATGTGAAAAAGTTTTTACACATTCTATCTACTCCAAACGTGCAGAAGTGAAGAAATAAGAAATAGCTTAGAGAACAACTATTCCAACTCAGTTTTCTTATATTATTTATGAATTCATATTCAGTATCCACATTCATGTATGCACAGATGTTGCCTGAAAACAGACAATTTAGGACAGAGGATATTAGGTATTTCCATTTCTAACAGAACTTTCTTTTGTCATAGGTAAGCTCAGAAAACATGGGTTAGATGAATGGACAGTAAGGTGGATTAAGAACTGGTTGACTGGAGCTCAGTGCTGTGATCAGTGGCACTGAGTCTGGCTGGAGGCCTGTAGCTGTTGGTGTCCTCCAGGAATCTGTTGCATTCAACTTATTCATCAAGGCACATGAAAGCAGAGAGCACACCCTCATCAAGTTTGCTGATACCAAATTGGTTGAAGAGGCAGATACACCACAGAACTGCACTGCCATTCAGAGAGACCTGAATAAGCTGGAAAGTTGAGGGAAGAAGATCATCATGATATTCAATTAAGGGCAAAAGCTGGATCCTATACATTGGGAGGAGGAACCCGTGTACTGGTACAGGCTGGAGGCCGACCTAGTGGAATGCAGCTCTGCAGAGAAGGACCTGGGAGTCCTGGTGGACAGCAGGCTGATCATGAGCCAGCAGTGTGTCTCTGTGGTCAAGGCCAATGAGATCCTGGGGTTCATTAGAAAGAGTGTTGCCAGGAGGCTGAGGGAGGTTCTCTTTTCCCTCTACTCAGCCCTGGTGAGGCCACAACTGGAGTACTGTGTGCAATTCTGGGCTCCCCAGTAAAGGCATGGAGCCCCAGCAAGTCCAGAAGAGGGCTACAAAGCTGATTAAAGGGCTAGAGTATCTCTCCTACAAGGAAAGGCTGAGCGAACAAGGCCTATTTTGCCCAGAGAAGACTGAGAGGGGATCTTATTAATGTGTAAAAATATCTTAAGAGAGGATATCAACAGAATGAGTTTAGGGTATTTTCCGTGGTGCCTGACAACATGACAAGAGGCAACGGACTCAAACTGAAACACAGGAAGTTCCAACTGCACATGAGGAAAAACTTATTTACTTTGAAAGAGATAGAGCATTGGGACGGGCTGTCCACAGAGTTTATGGCATCTGCTACTCTGGAGATATTCAGAACCTGCCTGGATGTGATCTCCTGAACAATATGTTCTAGGTGACCCTGCTTGGTGCACTGGGGATAGACTAGATGATCCCAAATGGTTCTTTGCAACTTCGACCATTCTGTGATTCTCTAAGTGGACAAACATTTCCTACAATGAATTAGAAGACCAAAATTAGTAGCACTGGTAACAACACAATAAAAACACTCCTCCTACACCTCCAATGCAATTTTGCTTCCTTATGAAAGAAAATAGGGCCCAAAAAAGCTTTCTCAACAAGATGTGCCCAAAAGACGAATAAAAACGACTTATAAAAAGGTCAAAAATGTTACATAAGACAATAAGATATTTTGTAGATGGCTATTCCATGTACACTAAGGATTGATATTAGGAAGTAGGTAAGTTATAAAACCAGCTGTGAGTATGTTAGCTTCATTTCTGCATAGCTTCATGTTTTTATTTCAGTAAGATAATTCTACCAAGGTGCTAAACTACTGAAATACTGCTGCTATACTTTGCTACTGGAGTAGAAAATACAATGTGCCCAGTAACTAGAACTCAATGTAATTCTGTACTACCGAAGTGCTATTACACTTCATCCAACAAAACAACTATTACATTATTAAAATATGTATGTGAAACAACAGGATTTCATAAATCAAGCCTTGATACCAGAAACCAAATTCAGCAAATACTAGAAGCATACACTCAAAATATGTAACCTACCTTTAGACTTTCTTCAGACTATACAAACAAAGCTCTACTGCTCTTTTCTGAGTCACAATTACAATTAGAATTTTCTTTATCATCTAATTGATTCAAATTTCCTCCTGTCTTTCTGATAAAGCTATATAAGAAAAGCCAGCTTTTGCAAAAGCTTTTTTTGATTATGCTTGTGATCTTAAGGAACAAGCAGAAAACAGCCTTAAAATACTAAGTTCTTAGGTAAAGTTTTCTGCTGTAGAACAGAAATGTGGCACAAGTTAACATTAAGAACTATCTGAAATTAAGACATAGCCAGAAGGCTGCTGTGCTTCAAACAGTGCATCTTGTTTAAAGACCAGTAAGGACCAGTTCAGTTTACAAAGCTGCAAATTGTATTGCATCTCAAAACATAAGTGAAATTTGGCAGCCCTGAGTTGCTGTCTTATCTACCTGTCTTCACCGCTGAATCTATTGTTCAGGAATTATTGCCACTGACAGACTTTTGTGTTTCATCAGATAAGCTACATGTTTCATACTTAACTAACTACCCAGAGCATAAATCAATCATAATTATAAAAACTGTGAGAAAAAATTGTCTTTATGACCAAAATGTTTAAATGGTATTCTGCTGTGCTCTAAAGCAAGTCTTAAATGGTTAATATCATTATCAACTAAGTCCATAAAAACTTCTGAACAACTATTCACCCATTTTGAACAGCAGATGAAACTGTTCTTGTATTTGCCACAGGCTTAGTCAAATTTGTGGTCTTTTCCTATGTTTCTGCTACTGAAAAAGCTATTTTACACACTAATTACATTATAAAACATTTACCTTTGGATGTGACGATTTTCCGTGCTTCATCTCTGCCTGAAAGACAATTTCATTTGGGAACTTTGAGTAAAATTGTTTTTTGCGTTACACACAATCAATGTTTTTAATTGTTTATTTGAAATAAGCTTCAGGAGTACTGACAGCCAGTACTCTTAGAAGTTATGCACCTGACTCACTGATGAAGCCAAACATACCATACTCAAGCTTTTGCACGAAAGAACTGATAAAGTTGAAAACATCATTTTATAATGTAGTTTGAGAAACACTCTGAAATGCCTCAGACTACATACATTATATAGCATAAAGTATGTATAGTTTATAATAATAAAGTCGTAGTAGATCTACAGTGCCTCCAAAACTTAATCTTTAGTCAGAATATGAACACACTTAGAGTTAAGAACAGCAGCATATCTGATCTCTTCAAAGAGCTTCAAAAATGTTAAATTTTAACAATCACTGCAGCACTTAGGATTTCTTCGTGGCTTTGAAAAAGAGGCTTTTTTTCAGAATACAGAGAGAAATCTGAAGATACCTGTTCTGTCATACTATAATTTCTTCCTCTATGCTCCACCTCCTCCAGACAAGTTTTACACAAGTTTAACATTTACTCACAGTCCTTCCAAAGGCTTCTGGAAGTAGAAATATTGAGTCCTCAACTATCAAAATACAGATCCAGAGAAAGAACTAGTCCAGAAAAAAAGACCTACAAGAAGTTTAACAGTGATCGGAAAACTGCACACTCTTGGTTCTAAAAATCTTATCGATGAACTCTCTCAGAAACAAAGCAGCTACTCCTACCTGAGCCAAAAGTGGAGCGTGCACAATACAGCATCAGACATTTGAGGACTGTTTTCTGGAACCAGAAAGCCACTCTTCCTACTAGAGCACACTTCCATAGCTCTGCATGAAGCTGTGCATGCTCATGATTGAAAATGTTATTTTCTTAATCTCCATTATGCTCTTCGCTCATGCACAACTGACAAATCCTCATGATTCTTACAAGTATATCCCAAATTATGATGGCACTATGTTAAGGAAACAAGAGCAAGAGCAAAAACGAGGGCTGTTACTGTCGTAGAGCCTTGGCATTCTAGTGAGTATGGACTCTTAAAATATACTACTTCCATTTTTACAGCCTGCTCAGTCTTTTCCATCTATTCCCGTGACACGCTAAGGAGAAAGAAGCCGTCATCTCTTGCCCTGCCTTCTTCAAACACCCCCGCGCACAGGGGCTGCGTCACATAGAAACTAATGAGGCCCACACGGGGGGGCGGGGGGGAACACGTCGCAGCCTCTGTTTTCCCGGGGCTGGTAGGAAGGCACACAAAAGAGCTGCTCAGAGCCGTTGGGACAGACGCCCGCGGTCAGCCGAGCGGAGCCGCGTCCACCCACAGAACAGCCGCCGCCTCCCAGCGCGTCCACGGCCTCCCGCGGCGGAGACCCGGATGCCCCCGCCGACCGCGCCAACCTCCCAGCGGGGCAGACAGGAAGGGATCAGACCCACCCGCCTCATCGTCCCGCGGTGACCGCCGCCGGCGGAGCCTCAGCCGAGCGCGACCCCAAAGCGCAACTTCAACTCCGTTCCTCCCAAGCCAGGAAGGCAACAGCCGTAACTCCCGCTTCCGGGTCAGGCAGTGCCCACTTCCACTTCCGGGTCACGCCGCAGCTGCCGCTTCTCCTTCCGTTTTCTCCTTTCTTCCAGGCCCTGTGGCGTCGCCGCGGTTTCCCCGCAGCAGCGCTCTTTGCGCAGGCGCAGCGCGGTGGGGGCGCTACCGCCCTGCTCCGCCCCTTCCGGAGTAGAGGAGGGGGGCAAGGCTGAGCACAGCGGTGCCGGGCTTTGCGCTTCCTGGATTCCGTGTAAGTCTGTTTGGGGCCGGCAGCTCGCGGCGGTTCCTTTCCGTCTCACCCAGCCCTCTTCTCCTCCGCTTCTGCTCTCGATAGAGGCTGGCCGGCCTCGTCGTGACTGTGGCAACGGTGTGATGGTGGCAGTGGGCCTGCCCGCAGCAGGGGTGTGTACTGAGGGGTACATCCTGTATTTATTTTATTTTATTTTCGAGATGGAATAATATGCTGGCATCTCCTTCCTTTACAAACGTAATTTTTCTGGTTTAGTGAAAAAACCTACCCAGATGGCTTCTGCACCCGCCTCACAGCTTTCTCCTAAAAGAACAGTGGCCTCGCACGTGCCTTTTGCAGACCTGTGTTCCACCCTGGAGCGAATACAGACGTGTAAATCCCGGCCAGAGAAAACCAAGTACTTCAAGGATTTCTTAGATTCCTGGAGAAAATTCCACAGTGCTCTCCATCAAAAAGAGAAAGATGTCACTGATTCTTTCTATCCTGCTATGCGGCTTATACTTCCACAGCTGGAAAGGGAAAGGATGGCGTATGGAATTAAGGAAACCATGCTTGCAAAACTTTACATTGAACTGCTTAACTTACCAAAAGATGGAAAGGATGCTGTGAAGCTTTTAAATTACAGAACGCCCACTGGTTCACGTGGAGATGCTGGAGACTTTGCAATGATCGCATACTTTGTGTTAAAACCCCGAAGCCCTAAGCGAGGCAGGTTGACTGTAGAGCAGGTCAATGAACTGCTGGATGCCATTGCAAACAACAATGCTGCTAAAAACAAGGGACTGGTAAAGAAAAGCCTTCTTCAATTAATTACCCAAAGCACAGCACTCGAGCAAAAGTGGCTCATCCGGATGATTATAAAGGATCTAAAACTTGGTGTTAGTCAACAAACGATATTTTCAATTTTTCATCCTGATGCTGCTGAATTACACAATGTCACGACAGATTTGGAAAAAGTTTGTAGGCAGCTGCACGACCCCTCTGTATCACTTAGCGATGTTTCTATCACGTTATTTTCTGCCTTTAAACCAATGCTTGCTGCTATTGCCGACGTCCAGCAAATTGAGAAGCAGATGAATAACCAGGTATTCTACATAGAAACTAAACTGGATGGTGAACGTATGCAGATGCACAAAGATGGTGATGTGTATAAATATTTTTCCAGAAACGGGTTTGACTATACTCAGCAGTTTGGTGCTTCCCCCCTCGATGGCTCATTAACACCATTTATTCATAACATATTTAAAAGTGACATACAAAATTGCATTCTTGATGGTGAAATGATGGCTTACAATCCTGAAACGCAAACCTTTATGCAAAAAGGAAACAAATTTGACATCAAAAGAATGGTAGAGGACTCTGATCTGCAGACCTGCTTCTGTGTGTTTGATGTATTAATGATAAATGATCAGAAGTTGGGTCATGAATCCCTGAGCAAAAGATACAAGATCTTAAGTAATGTATTTACCCCAGTAACAGGCAGGATACATGTTGTACATAAAAAAAGTGCCAGGACAAGAAAAGAAGTAATTGATGCTTTAAATGAAGCAATAGATAACAGAGAGGAAGGCATTATGATAAAAGATCCCATGTCCACTTACAAGCCTGACAAACGTGGGGAAGGCTGGTTAAAAATCAAGCCGGAATATGTCAATGGGCTGATGGATGAGCTAGATCTTCTTATTGTTGGTGGTTACTGGGGAAAAGGCTCACGTGGTGGAATGATGTCTCATTTTCTGTGTGCTATTGCAGAGACTCCAGCTCCAAATGAAAAACCTACTGCATTCCACTCTATTTGTCGTGTTGGCTCTGGCTACACTATGAAGGAATTATATGATCTGGGTTTGAAACTGGCTAAACATTGGAAGCCTTACAATAGGAAGGACCCTCCTTGTAACATTTTGTGTGGCACTGAAAAACCTGAAATGTACATTGAGCCTTGTAATTCTGTCATAGTTCAGGTCAAGGCAGCTGAGATTGTTGACAGTGATATGTACAAAACTGACTGTACTCTGAGATTCCCCAGAATTGAAAAAATAAGAGAGGACAAAGAATGGTATGAATGCATGACTTTGGACATGCTAGAACATCTTAGAAGCAGAGCAGAAGGGAAGCTGGCATCCAAGCACCTATATATTGATGAATACGATGAGCCACAAGAGAAGAAAAAGAGAACTGTACCAAAGGTGAAGAAGGTAATTGGAATAGCTGAACAGTTTAAAGCTCCCGATCTTTCTAATGTCAACAAAATTTCCAGTGTGTTTGAGGATGTAGAATTTTGTGTGATGACAGGAACTGGAAGGTACTCCAAGTCTGAACTGGAAAGCAAAATAGCTGAATGTGGTGGCAGTGTGGTACAGAACCCTGGACCTGACACTTACTGTGTCATTGTAGGAGCTGAGAATGTCAGAGTTAAAAACATTATTGCTTCCAACAAATATGATGTGGTGAAAGCAGAGTGGCTTCTTCAGTGTTTTCAGTCAAAAATGCTGGTACCTTGGCAGCCAGCCTTTATGATTCACATGTCTCCTGACACAAGAGAACATTTTGCTCGTGAGTATGATTGCTATGGAGACAGCTACACAGCAGATACAGATGTTGCACAACTCAAGGAAGTGTTCTCAAGAGTGAAGGATAATAAGAAGATGCCTTTGGACTTGATTGCTGAGTTAGAAGAACGGTATTCATGGAACAGCTGTCAACTGTGTATATTCAGAGGAAACACTATTTATGTGGACTATTATGCTATTATTAACAAGCCCAGTACCAAAATCCATGGCACAAGACTATCAATTAGAGCTTTGGAGCTCCGTTTTTATGGTGCAAAAGTAGTTCCTATTCTTGAGGAAGGTGTGTCCCATGTTGTTATAGGAGAAGATCATTCCCGAGTAAAAGAGGTGAAAGCTCTCAGGAGAATGTTTGGAAAAAAATTTAAAATTGTATCTGAGCTGTGGGTAACAGAGTCAATTAAGGAAGGAGCCCCAAAGAATGAAAATCAGTTCTTAATTTAAAGTGGTTTTTAACCTTAGATTAAAAGTAATCTTCTGGTCACAATTGAACTGGATATTATGAGCTTGTCTTAAATTTTCTTTGTGTTTTAAATCTGTGGCTGAAGAATAATGCTATTTCTGGAATTGAAGGAAGGCTTGTAGCTGTACTGTCATGGAAGCAAGGGAATGCAAAGCTGGTGAGAGAAAAAGCCACAAGATAAGTAATGTAAGCCTTTTACTTCAACAACAGCTCTCAGAAGAGATCTAATCTTTTAGATAAGGGAATTGCTAGCTATGAGCAATGCTTGCCTCTGTTGTTCAAGATGGAGACAATAACTATCTCATGGAAATTTTACTTTATTTATTTATTGATGATGAGATTCATATATTTTTAAAAAGAATATGATATGTGTATGGTATGGTGCATAACTGAGTAATTTATAAACTTTCTTTGTGCTGTTTTACTTTATTTACATTGGTTTTAGTATTAAGTTCTGTGCAACCTCAGTACCACTTTGGTTTTAAGATATTGCATTGATCCAATGTTTCTTTCTATAAACACTGTAAAATAGAAATCAAACTTCATACTGAGGTGCTAATAAATTCATACTTACCTATATATCTAAACTACAAATTAATTACTTAACTGTAATGATATCTTTTTCCATTACAGTTCAGGTTAAACCGTCAACCATGATGTAACTGGGCTTTTACACTTTATATTTCAAAAATGTTTCATGTGCTTTTTCAGTAATGTGCAATGAATTTCCAGATATTTACTTGAACGTATATTTTTTTAATAAAATATGTTTTAAGTCTGCCTGCTTATTTATTTATTTGTTTTTAAGTGAGAAATAACTTTTGAAAAATATGAAGTACTAGTAATGTATTTCCTTTTTTTTTTTTTTTCAAAGCTATGCAAGGCTGCGGAAGCTAAATCTAATAATTTCTCAACAAGCTTCATAGTCTTCCTACTGACTCCCACAGCGTATTAACAGCAGGTTTCTTTTTTAAAAATATCCTGTGGGTTCAGTATGCTGGTTTCGTTCATGTCTCTTTTTGTGTTTTGCCTCACTTGTAATTAGGGCTAGAAATTAGTTTAGAAATTAGTTTTTCTGCATGCATATTTATATGTAGCATGATAGTTAGTATACAAGGTAATGTCAAATAATTTTGTTGGTGTATTTTCTTCTTTCAGTTACTTTTTTGCAAGTTTACATTAAAATGTTTAATAAGAAATTCTGTACTTCATGTATCAATGTAATAAAGGAATATTTAATTGGTCTTTAGGGATCCTCTGTGGACGCTTTGGTGGCTGGAATGTACTGCTCTGTGGATGAGGTGTATATATCTAGAATATAGGCTGGGGGAGGACATAACAGAATCATTTCTCATGGCAGAATAGAAACTACTGTAAAAAAAAGTCAAGAAAGTGTGAAGAATTTTGTGGATCTGCTTAGTTTTAAGAAAATTCTGAGAAACAATTGAAGGCTGGAAATGATTCAAGAAGTAGGAGTGTTTGTTCCAGGCACTAAAGCTTTTCGTAAGAAGTCAAATTAATTAAAGAGGTATGCAGAGGATTTCTGGCATGATGTCTAAGGAAGACTGAATATAAGGCAAGATCTGTAGGTAGTGGTATGAGCTGAGATAGACGAGTAAAGGTGTTTGTGTAGAAAAAAAGCTGTCTCCTGTCTGTTCTGATTGGTATATTAAACAAACAAACAAACAAAAAAAGAACAAAATATAACCATATAAAACTAGCCATATTACTAGCTGATCATCATCCATCAAAGACAGTGTTCAAG